CTCCGGATGCAGCACTTGGGACCGGCTATCGCTTGGAAAATACCCTGTGCATTCACCTCTCAATTTTCAGTCACTGTTGTCACGACTTTTCTATTGTTTCCAGCAAATTCTATCCCTCCTTCTTTTCTTACACTCCTTTTCCTTTCAGCTTCTCGGCTCAAATACGTGCTCCTCACCTTTTCCTTTATATCTCGACCATGGCACAATCGACTACTTCAGACCTTGTCTCCACTATTGCGACGCAACTCAACATTGTCATTGTGGCACTTCGATTATTGGTGGACATGATTCAAAACCCGGACGCTGCCTCTCCTGTGGACATGACCCCGGGCTCCTGCCCTTCCAGACCACCTGCTAGTCCGGCATCGCCGCTGTTTCAAACCACCACGAGACCCTCCAGTTGGGCACCTTGTGAACAGCCGGTACCTCGTTCAGAGCTTTCACTGACTCTTCCGAGGACTCCACCGCCGTCACCTACATCATCAGCTGGGACACGCACTCCCCCTGCACTCCCCTCTTCCCCCGCCTTCTGCCCCCCCCCTGCAGGGTGAAGGATAGGAAAATAGAAAATAGAACAGTGGAAGTGATAGGAGCCAGTGGCTGCGGTGAAGAACAGTCAAAAGGACATGTGAGGAAATGTAAGGTGAAAATTCAATCAGAAACAAGAAAAACATCCAAGCGAGAACGAAGAGGTCGTGGAACTTTTCAATGCGTAACGAAGAGAATCCTGAGCTCAGGGAAGCTTGTACGGCCTTGACCTGAAGTTGAGAAAATGGAAATCAATCCCGAGGTCGGTCAGCAGGAAAGGGAGGATCCAAAGTATGTTGAGACTCAGTCGAGGTAGAATTCAAAGACATAAATCCTGAATCGGGTAAGGGAAGTGGAAGTCCAGTGCCTCCGCTGATAGGATCGGTGGAAGGGGTTTGGCCAGGGGGGGCCGAAGAAGCTGCGGGTGAGCGGCCCGGATGGAGGGGAGGATCATGTGGTTGGCTAGCTTGGTGAAGTTCGTCACGATACGTATTGAGAGTGTGGACAACCCCGCAAATGAGTTGTTCTTGCTGTGGAGCGGGTAGGCCCTGAAGCATAGGTACCTGGGAGACATCAAGCTGAGAGAAATTCTGCAAGAGGGCTTCAATTTGATACTGTACACTGTGAGATGTTCCAAATTGTCCACAGCCTGTCTCTTTTGGCCTCTGCGGGGAACAGGTGTGTGGCTGAGTTGTTGGGCAGCTGCGATACTTTCTTCTTCAGCACGAAGGGCGGCTTCATATCGCTCACATTGTGCCCGAATGGAGAGGCTTTGTGTGG